CGGGGACCCGGCTGCAGCGCCGACGAGACTACGGGAGGCTCTGGGCGCGTCTGGGTCTGAATCTTGGGTATCGAAGACTCGGCCGCGGGGACCGTCGCCCTCCGGGGCCTAAGGGGCATGGTGCCCGCACATGGCCCACGCTCGGTGCTCGCGGCGGGAAGGGAAGCGGGTGTGGGTGGGGAGCAGAGAAGGCCGATGGGGAGAGCCCCTTCCGACTGTGTTCAGGCGCCCAGAGCCTGCGAGGCGCCGGGGAAGCGTCAGGGACCACAGACACCGTTGCCGTCCGTAAAACTTTCCTTCCAGGACCAGGGGCATGGGAACAGAGCCCCCCACCCTCACCATCTTCCAATCCTCCTTCAAGAGAGTGCCCCAACCAGGAGAGGCCCCAGGGCAGGAGGTCACAGACCCCCTCTGTTCAGTAGGTGTGAGGTCTGTGCTGAGTGCTGGCTGGACACCCCGGCTCAGGCGTCTGGCAGCCTGGGGCCTCATGGGGACGTGTTAGGAGCTAGGGGCACAGGCTGGTGTGCTGACCCCCAGTGAGTGAGCTTTGGAATGGGGAGTGTCGTAGTAGTTCAAGGTCGCAGAGGAGAATAGGCCCCCACGTGGATCCCAGAGAAGATAAAGGTGGGACAGTGCCAAAACGCCGGGGTTTAATTCTAAGTCTGAGAACAGGACTCATGGTGGGGGCGGGTGGTTCTGGAGCTGGGCCCTGGCCTCTGCTGGGCTGACCGTATTTGGGCGCCTGGCTGGGCCTACTTGGAGGTCCCCTTCTTGGTTTTGCTGGGCAGGAAGGCCTCTGACTGTTGAAGGGGGGGCACTTTGACGCCTTTCTGCTTCAGCTGATTGTAGTAGTCGCTTCTCTCTGAGATAATTCTCTACACAAGAAACACAACCGTGGAGGTGGCCTTCGCAGTTCCTCACCTTGGCCTTGAGGCTGGTCTGCCCAGTTCATGCCAGCTGCCCGGGACACCACCCTCTCGTCCTCCAGAGGGGCTCGCTGCAGCAGCGGTGTGCTGGTGAATACTTACAACCGGCTCTCCAGCGGGGAGGAAAAAGCAAAACTGCGCTCGGCTTTGTGGCGTTGCCAATTTCTGTGGTGGGAATACTCCCACGGCGGCTGATTTTCAGCCACGGAAGTGAAGTCACAGAACGCAGAGCCGGGGCAGGTGCACACCACCAGCCCACAGAAGCCTGCACTAAGTCCCCTCCTCAGCCCTCTTAGAGTTGTGAGGAACCCCAGACTCCTAGAGACCTTTGAGGTCGTCACATCTGTCCCTCAAGTCCTTTCTGTCCTGTGCATAGGGAACGTTGTCCCCACCCCTCTTCCAGTCTCCTCTCTGGGCCGTTGCTGGTTTGTGTCAGGTTATGGCAAACAAGCAAAGGTGCTCTTCCCTGGCTACTGTGCAGTGGGAATACTCCCTCCATCCTCTGTCTTCCCTCTTCTCTTCCTCTTTCCCTCCCCTTCCTCCTCCCCTCCCCCAGACAACAGTACCAAGGCCGCAGAGATCTCTGCCCACATTACAGCTCTGCAGGAAAGGCACTGTCTGGGGCCCATCTGCTCTGCAGAGAAAGGGAACCAGGCCCCAGGAACGTGGGTGCTGGAAGGTCGTGGACACACACTGGGGTTTAAGGGCAGCCCCAGAGGGCAAAGTGTGGGTCTTGGGACCAGAAGCAGCTGCTGGCGAGAGGTGACCCCTGCGTAGCACATGGCCCCACATGGAGCCACAGCCGGTGCCAGACTCCCAGATCTCTGAGTCTCACGACACCTTGCAGGTAAGCATGCGCTGTCCATCACAGAGGGAGGCATCTATGACTCAGAGAAGTGACTGTGTGGCCCACAGCTGGTGGGTGGTGACCCCCTCATGCCCAGTGACCCCAAGGCCTGAATTATTTCTCCTATACCCCTGTACTTCTCCGAGGCCCCTGCTTGGGGACCCCTGGTCAGGAAGGAGCCCAGGAGGCTGTAGCCAGGGTGGGAAGAGTCTGCGCCAGGGCCCTGGATCAGTGGGTGGGGATACCAGTGGAGGGGACCAAGCTGGACAAAGCGGGGGCTGGGCTCCTGGTGCGGGAGAGTCTTCATGACCCGAGCGGCTTGTTCCCTGTCCACAGCGCTCAGGATGGGTTGTGGTGGTTACTGCTGGTCTCTGATGCCCCTCCCCCTTTTTGCTGAGAGTGAGTAAGACTCCCATGCCATGCCCCCACCCACCTTAGGATGATTTGGTCCCCTCTGCCTGAGCAGAGAGAAAGGGGGGTCCTGGGGTCCAGGTGAATAGGTGACACAGCTAGGATGAGAACAGAGTCCCTTGAGTCTAACCTAGGCCCCCACCCCACCCCCTACCCCAGCTGTGGCCTAGGGGGATGGGACCCGGATGGAGGCAGCTGAGCTTAGGGGTGTACCTGCAGGGCTTCCAGGATGTCATTGTCAGATATCTCGTTGACCAAGGACTTGGTCCCGGTGATGCTAAAGGTGGCCTGGATGATCTTATTCCTTAGCCTCTCGAGCTATGAGCAAAGGGACAACATCGTCACTCATCTGTGCCCAAGAAGGCACCTGGCCAGTGGGCTGCACCCCCCAGCACCTTATTTTTTATAGGCCAGGAAGGAACAGCTCACCCTCACTTTTCATGGCTTTAGAAACTGGAAACGGGGGCCGGAGGAGTCAACGTGGGCTGCCTGAGAGCTAGGAGGTGCCGGATCCAACCCCTGACCCTGCACGGCCCAGCCCCAAAGCCCAAAGGCTCTTTGACACCACGTGGGCTTTTCTAATTGGAAAGTAAAACCTACCCACACACACACACATTTTTTTTTTTTTTTTTAGACGGAGTCTCGCTCTGTCGCCCAGGCTGGAGTGCAGTGGCCGGATCTCAGCTCACTGCAAGCTCCGCCTCCTGGGTTTACGCCATTCTCCTGCCTCAGCCTCCCGAGTAGCTAGGATTACAGGCACCTGCCACTGCGCCTGGCTAGTTTTTTGGTATTTTTTAGTAGAGACAGGGTTTCACCGGGTTAGCCAGGATGGTCTCGATCTCCTGACCTTCTGACCCACCCGTCTCGGCCTCCCAAAGTGCTGGGATTACAGGCTTGAGCCACCGCGCCCGGCCCACACACATTTTTAAACCAAGAAACCAAAATAGTACAGAAGCTGCACGTAACCCCTGGACCTTCCTCCGCTGCCCAGGGGAGCTGCAGTGAGTGGACTTCCTGGCCCTTGGCGACACTCTCACTTTAGGCATTTAACAGTGTGCTGCTGGCCCTTCCTCCTTTCCATGCTGACTAGGAGGCGTCTGTGCCACGGACAGCAGCATTGAACCTGGCCCCTGTGCACAGACCCGGAAGGCGTTCCAGTCTTTTGCTGCCGTGAAGATCCTCGTCTGCCTGTACACTGCAGCCACCTCCCCAGAGGTAGCTAATCATGCCTCCCAGGAAGCTACAGCGGAAATCTCTCCAATCTGCACCCCAGGAGCCTCAGAAGGAAACCCCTGGAGTTATGCGGCACGATCAGCACCCGTTCCTCGTCCAGAAACCCTGACGACGCAGAGGTGCCCGACGGAAGCCGGGCCCGAAAGGCTCAGCTGTGCCTCCGAGTGGAAGCACGTCCACACTGCCACTCGGACAGGTTTAAGTAACAGCAGGAATGTCATGGGCCCCTGGCCTGTGTGAGGAGTGGAATCCTTTCCTTCTTTCCAGTATTTATTGAATGCCCACTTTGTACAAACATCGTGCCAAGTGCTGGAGGTCCTGAGGCCACAAGGGACTGGGCCTTTGTTCTGGGGGGTGCCTCCCCAGGGTAGAGGTTGGCAGCTACCCAGGGTGTCCAGCCTCACTTCCCCACATTCGTGGGGCCTCACCATCAAGCTTGGCGCTAGTTCCTGCTCACCCGGACTTAGCTTCAGAGTATTTCTCAACTCAGCTTTCCAGGCTCTACCAGGTCCGTGCAGGCTGACGCACAAATGGACACACCTCGACCGCCTCTGGTCTAATGCTTTCACCAGGACTACGGCTGGATCCCAAACTGTTTTATCA